GTTCAAACGCGCCGATGCGGATGTGCGGACGCGATTCCCCGCGCTACCCGCCGCTGAACGCGCTGAGAGCGGCACGTGGTGACCGGCGAAAGACGCCGGGGTTAAGAGATCTGGCGGAAAGGAAGGCCTAGTTGGGCTTGCGCAAAGTTTCCGCAACCCGCGCGCGGATGGCCGAAACTGGGAAATGAAACCGCGCAACTGCACAGGAATGGGGGGAAGTGTCGGAGAGCAATGGTGCAAGCTAGCCACTTGTCGGAGTATCATTGGTCGGCTGCGGTAACTCACGGCCCAGACGGGCCTCGGGGCAGGGAAGGATGGAGTTAGAATCGGAAGCTGCTGACCGTACGATGATAGCGTGCGATGTGGGTTGGCGACGGACAGATATTATGGGGACGAGAGAGAGGGCAAGGAATGCGCAGAGGGGCTCACGGAGATCTATCGAGTCGCATGCATTCGTGCGTGAAGAAAGAAAAGCAATCTTGAACGAAATCGCGACACACACAATGGACGTTGAATCCAAGAACCTGGAAGACGAACACGGAGTTCTAGCTTCTTGAAAGTGTGGGTTGGTTGGCTTGGCATTGCATTGAATGGAGGAGTCGTCCATTTCTTGGCAGGCACAGTAGCGAGGGGAGCGAGAAGAATGGATTTCAGTGTGACGTGGCGCCGCTTTGAGCAGACACGACTGGAATGACGCTTGATTGCGCCTCTCGTCCAACAGCGTTTGGTACAATTCCCGTACGAATATCGAGATCGCTTGTGGTAACCTGATATCGATGATACAGATGATGCCCAACCCCTGCACGCGAAATTGCCTTGCACATTCCAGAAACCTTGCACCCGTGGGTTTCCTGCCGCGAAGTTGCACCTACGGTACAAGCACGTCGACCAATAGGAAAGCCAGGAACGAAAGTCTGACTCGTAAGACTGCAGTCAAAGAGTCAACAGTGAGTTACAAAATTTTTTTATAAGCCCTTTTTGCCCGATGCAAATTGACGAAACCTCCACGAAATGCATGAATCACTTATAGGCCCATAGGGAAGGCCGAGGTCGGGGGGCTCAACCGGGCATCATGTGTACAAGGCTAACAAGATGGCTTACGAATGCGGGTGCGATGTGAGGAGCTGAGAATATCATTATCGAAGAATTCGGGTCACCCTTAGCGGGTACATACCCAGTGAGGTGCGATTTTGTTACGGGTGCAATGGAACGAGGTAGCGAGGATTGCACTAAGGTGTCAAACGAGTACAAAATGTGAGCGAATGCATGAGCGAACATTTATACGCGAAACATGCAAACGGTAACGCGGTGCGTGCGAGCTAGCTAGTGCTACGCTGGCAACGAGGCTCGGGCTAGTCCCGAAGCGCAGGCCGACACGGTCGGGCCAGCAGTGCGAGGTTTGGTGAAACGGTTCGCGCGAAGTCGGCGAAGCCCCGTTAGTAGTAACGGGCGAACAATGGCTGCTGCTGTACGCGATGTTGCAGGGCGCGCTAAGGAATGTCGAGAAATTCCTTACACTACCCCCCCCCTCAAGAAGCCCCCTCCGCTACGCGAGTGCGTGTATATCGCGGAAACCCCGGCTCCTCAGGTACACTTGCAGGGCAGGGTGGTTTTCGATGTTGGCTAGGGGCACTCAGCTATCCTCAGTTGGCGTGCGGTCCTTCCAGCGAACGAGGAATTCAATCCTCCTGATTCCCGTGGGGTGTCGAATCCGATGGCTCATGATTTTTTCGGGCTCGATAATCGGCTCCGATGCAGTGCGAGTCATGGATGGCGTGCGGTGACGAGGCAGTTGGCTTGTGGTTGGGATGTATGGGCGAAGCAGGCTGACGTGGAATGAAGGGCTGATGTACCCGTCCGTCGGCAACAGTAAGTAAGCTGTCACTTGGGTGATCATGTGGCTGATTTGGTACGGTCCACAGTAGCGGGGTCGTAATTTCGGTACGACGGGCAGTCTTAAGTTCTGTGTGTCGAGCAGTACGTAGTCTCCTGACTGGTACGTGACTGGGCGGCGGTGGCGGTCAGCGTTGCACTTAGCGATGACGTTGGCTTTTTTTATTGCTTCAGCGGCTCTGGTGCGGGCAGCTTGCAGAATTTCGGCGAATTGCTGTGCACGTGGCGTTGGGTTGTCCGGAGTCGGCGTCATGGGCACTGTAGGGCTTTGCCCGTTGTTCAGGTAGAAGGGGGACTGCTGCGTCGTCGCTGACGTGGCGTTGTTATATGCGAACTCGATCAACGGCAGCTGCTCCCAAGTTGTCGGGTCGTCGCACGTGGCACGAATCAACTGCTCCATCGTCTGATTCGTCCGCTCCGTTTGACCGTCTGTCTCGGGGTGGTACGACGAGCTGAACTGTAGCCTGGTCCCGAACTGCTCCCAGAGGTTCTTCCAGAAGTTGCTGGTGAATTTCGTATCGCGGTCGCTGATTATCGCGGCTGGTATCCCGTGCAGTCAAACGACGACTGCGATGAACAGGCGAGCGGTTTCTTCGGCTGAGATCGATTTCTTGCACGCAGCGACGTGAGCCATTTTCGTCAAACTGTCAACGACGACCATAACCGCGTCGTTACCCCCAGGGTTCGAAGGTAACCCCGTGACGAAATCCATGGTAACCTGCTGCCAGGCGCGCTCATGCGGTGGGATCGGCTGCAACTGACCCGCCTTTCTTTTTCGCGAGCTCTTCATCACCTGGCACGTAGGACACGAGCCCACGTGGTGCTGTACGTCGGTCAACAGCTCCGGCCAGTAGTAATACCGCTGCAGCTGCTGTCGCGTTTTTTCTACCCCAAAATGTCCCGAGGTAATCCCGTTGTGTGCCTCCTGCAGTAACAGTTCCCTCAGTAGTGAGTACGCGGGTACCCAGATGCGGGTGGTGCCTGTTTTTACGTAATAGACTCCTTTGGCTTATGCCAGTTGCTGTGAATTTCCGATCGTGAAAACTGGGCCGGTATTGTATCCGTGGGTGAATAGGCCTGTTAACAGTGGGTTGGTTTGGGCAAGTAGGATGGCGTGAAGTTGGGCGGTGGGGCGAGTGAGTGCGTCGGCGATGTTGGATGCACCTTTTTTGTACGTGACCGTGTAGTGGAAGTTGGACTCCAGGTAGTCCAACCAGCAGATCTGTCGTGGGTTGAGACTCGGTTGGGCGCGAAGGTACTGTAGTAAGCGGTGGTCTGTCCGTACTGTCACGTCTGCTCCCGTGAGGTAACATCGCCACACCTTGAACGCGTGCACGATCGCCAGCATCTCGCGGTCGTGTATCGGGAAGTTGCGTTTGGGCGGGTGAAGCTTGCGGGACTCGTACGCGATTGGCTGGAGGCCGTTCCCGAAGTCTTGCAACAGTACTGCTCCCACAGCGATGTCGCTAGCGTTGGTGACGAGCTCGAACGGACGGTGCGGATCTGCGATGTGAAGCACGGGCGGCGAGCACAAAATGTTTTTGAGGGCCGAGAAGGCAGCTTGCTCTTTCCCCCCCCACGTGTACTCAACCCCCTTCCCCAGCAGGTCGGTCAACGGGGCACTCAACTTCGCCATGTCGGGGACGAACCGGCGTACGTAGTTGACGAACCCCAGAAAACTCTGCAACTCAGTCAAGTCGGTCGGCGTGTGCCATGCTTGAATCGTCGCGATCTTTTTTGGGTCTATTTCCATGCCTGCAGCTGAAATAATGTGTCCCAAAAACTCTAGTCGATCCTGTAAAAACTCACACTTAGAAGCTTTGGTCAGTAGGCGGTTCTCACTCAGTATTTTAAAAACTGCTTCGATGTCCTGTAAGTGTTGTGCTCTGTCGGGGCTGTAAATCAGTATCTCGTCAACATATACGATGACGCACTTATCTAAAAGCGGACGAAAGGCTTTGTTCATGGTCATTTGGAAGGTGGCGGGGGTGTTGGTCATTCCGAAGGGCATGACGGTGTATTCGAAGGATCCATAGCGGGTTCGAAAGGCTGTCTAGGGGCAGTCGGGTGGGTTGACGCGAATCTGGTGGTAACCTCCCCGAAGGTAGATTTTCGAGAAAACCCGGGCTGTGCGCAGTTGGTCGATCAGTTCGTCGGCTCGCGGGATGGGGTAACAGGATTTGATGGTAACCCTGTTCAGTGCCCTGTAGTCTATGCACATGCGAAAAACCCCGTCCTTCTTCGGTGTAAACAGTATCGGTGCCGCGAAGGGTGACGAACTCGGGCGAATGAACTCCTTTTCGAGCAGGTAATCCAGCTGTTTTCTCAGTCCGTCCTGTTTGGGTTGGGTCAATCGGAACTGTCGCTGTACTGTCGGCTGTGCCCTCGGTTCTAGTTCTATCCTGTGGTCGTGCGGTCGCTGAGGTGGCAGTCCCGTCGGCAGGTCGTCCGGGAAAATGTCGCTGTACTGCTTCAGCAGTGCTACCAGGTCATCCGGTACGTCGGCTAGCAGTTTCTGTAAATCCCCTCCTTTGTCTGCTGCCTCGGATTCCCGAATGTCAACCGCATACACGTCAGCTCCTGCCGCTACGGCGCGTTTCATCGTGATCGCGCTGACACGTACCGACGAAGACTCAGGCGAGCCCCAGCGAGGTAAGGCGATGTTGTTACCGTTGACTCGCACTGCGCAGTCACCCGTCGTCCAGTCGATTCGCGGATTGTGTCGTCGCAGCCAATCACGACCGAGTAAAATGTCGGTTCCGTCGAGGGTCGTCGCTAGCATTTCCTGGCTAAACGTGAAGTTAACCCCGCATCGAATCCGAACCCGGTCCACGCGTTCCCTTATCGCTAGTGGCGTGCCGTCGACCAGTCTTGCGTCGATCTCAGGTAAGCATCTGTCCAGTGGCAGTCTCAGTTTCCATGTTGTGACAGTGTTGATAAGGCTGTGGCTGGCCCCTCCGTCTACGAAGATTTTAACTAAGTCTGTCCCGATTTTCCCACTAAGCAGTATGGGGCTGTCTACCGTAGTACCCTCCTTATTCGGCCGGGTGTGGTCGATTGCATGAACCGGCACAATCACTCGGTGAGGGTCGGTAGGGTCAGGCGAG